GGGGGGGGGGGTGGCAATCTACGTACTGGGGCACACAAGAGGTGTGGCCAGCTGTGGACAGGCCCCAGGGCACTTAGGTCAGCAAAGGTCAGGAGGCTGGACAGGGGTTCACCACCAAGGCACTGCTGCTGCTGCATCAGGCCAGGCTCCTAAGAGCTGAGTCAGTGGGCTCCCCTCCCCTGCACACCGCCCTGAATTAAGGAAGTCGTCCAAGCCACACCCTAGCTCTGCGTCTGGAGCGGAAATGTTTGTCCTTGCTGAGGCAGATGGGGAGACGATAGAGCCATGACGTGTGGGCCTCCTTCCTGTGGGCCCGGATCCTAGATCCCTGAGCAGCCACCCCCGCAGCCTCAAGGTCTCCCCACATCTTAGGCCTCTGTGACTTGATCACAAGTGGCTGGTCATCTGGCCATTTCACAAGGGGAGAAATGGACAGTGGCTCAAGAGCTCTGGGGAAGGGGGACACTTTTCTGAACAGACCATCTCTACAGCATCTGCCCCCTCAGTTGTCCCCCCTGTGGTAGAATGGCCCCTATTCCCTGATGACTCAGGGGTACCCCACACCCAGCACATGCTCACAGCAGTAACACTTAGGTTAAGCCAGAGACGGACTGGCAGGAGGAACTCTGGGAGGGAGGAATGCTTGCCCCAGCAGCCATGGCAACTCCACAACATAGGCCCTTCCCCTCCCACCTGGCGGTCAGGCCAGCCAGGCAAGGGCTGTGGAGCCAGGAGAGAACTCAGAGGCCAAAGGCTGCAGGTGACTCAGGTGCCTGAGGGAGTTTCGGGAGAAGAGGGTAGCCATCCCATAACTGATTCTGGGGGAGGAGGGGTCAGAGGCCAAAAGCAGAAGGCAGAAGAAACTTCACGAGTTGCCTTCCCCCAGCCTCCGCCAGATGTGGGGGAGATCATTGTGACAGCCACCATAGAGCAGATGGGGGTGGAAGATGATTGGACTCAGTCCCCCGAGGGCTAGAAGGATTTGTGGGGTTGAAGGAGTTGGGCCTGTCCCTGCCTCCTGGTTAGGGGTTGAAGGCCCCACTTCCACTGTCCAGGCTGAGGCAGAGGCCAGCTACACCTCCCCCTTCTCCTGCTGGTGAAGTCAGGCGGGAGAAAAGGAAGTGTACTTAGAGCTCACCTAGGAAAGGAGTTCATGGGGGCAGGGACTAGCCCTCGATCACAGTGTGAGCAGCATCCTTTTCCCTGCTTTTGTCCCTAACAGCCCTTAACCCTCTAAGCACCTAGGAACCCTCACGGCCCCTGACTATTGATCCACGTGTTCCACAAACACAGGTAAGGAGGGATTAGGGGGTAAAAACCGTGAACACCCTCAAGCAAGAGACTACGTTGTGTAGAAGGATGGCTAGAGAAGGCCACCCTGTCTGAGTGTGTGTCTTCCAGCCAGCAGGTCCATGGCTGGTCGGCCTCTGCTCCCCGGACACCAGGAGGAGACTGCCAAAGACCCTGGGCCCAAACTATCACCAGTGCGGCCCGCAGGCCGCCTGCCCGGCATCGATGAGACCCGACCCGCAGGCCTAGCCCTGGCCTCCCGCCGTGGCTCTGTGCTGGGCCTAGCCACGTCCTTTTCACGCCGCAACTCACTGGCAGGGCCGGGCGTGGCTCCTGGGAGTCGCCGACCCTCCCTGGGCCCATTGCCCCCTACAGGCTCGCGGGTCAGCTTTTCAGGGTTGCCCCTGGCACCCGCCCGTCAGGTGGCGCCCTCGTACCGCACTGAGCCGGCGCCGGGGCAGCGCTGGGAGGCAGCGCGCGCACAGCAGGTCCTGGAGGCGGCGCTGGCTGCGGGGCTGCGCGACGCGTGCTACTCGGGCGCCGAGGCAGGGCGGCTGGTGCGGGAGCTGTGTGAGCAGGTGCACGTGCGCCTGCGTGAGTTGAGCCCACCGCGCTACAAGCTGGTGTGCAGCGTGGTGCTGGGGCCACGCAGCAGCCAGGGCGTGCGCGTGGTCAGCCGCACGCTCTGGGACACTGAAAGCGATGGGCTTGCCTCTGCCGCCTTCACCAATTCCTCGCTCTTCGCGGTGGCCACGGTGCACGGGCTCTACTGCGAGTGAGCAGGCCTCCAAGTTCTGCAAAACGGTTTATTATCCCAGGAGGAGGCCCCCCTGGGGCTCACATCCCAATAAATAAAAGTCTGTTAATAAATAAAAGTGGTCCATAAATAAAGCCCCCGAGCTGGGGGCTAAGGCTCAGGCTTATCTCGGAGACAAGGTAGGTGACAGCGAGTTCCAGCTGCCCCCAACTCCAGTAAAGCTGGTCCCTGATTCCCTGGGGGACTAGGCACAGAGCCCCCAGTGAGGCACCAAAGGGACATGGAGGGCCACAAAGGCAAGGGCCATAGCCTCACTGGCACAGGCCTCAGGCCGGAGGGCTTGGGTTGTGGCCTGCTCTGCAGGTTAGGGTCTAGGCTGGGCTATGGTCCCGGAGTAGGCACAGAGCATAACGGAGCCGCTGCCGCAGGTCTGGGGAGCAGCCCAGCTGCCGAAGGTGGGAAGCGAGGTAAGTACAAGCACGGCGATTCCGGGCCACAAAAGTCACAAGGAGGGGCTCCCAGCCACTGAGGATCAGTTTGGTGTGGTCCCCATAGAAGTTCACCTGTGCACAGGAGGGTGACACTGATCAGGGCCTAGGCCTCAGGCCTAATTTCCTCCCCAGCACCCTGGGCCTCCCAGACCTTCCCCCCAGCACTCCAGGATGGGCTCTTACTTACCTGGACAGTGCCATCACTAAACAGCATGAGTAGGGCCTGATCAGTCTTGACCCACTGCAGCAGCAAGGGTGGGGCAGGCACCTCCACCTCTTCTACACTGGGTAGATCTCCACCCTGGGAATAGGGGCAGGATAGGTCACTGATATGAGCCAAACCCCCTCCCTATTGATGTCCCCTTACAGGTTCAGCCTCTAGCTTTGAGCCCCCCCCAACAAAAAAAAGGAATCAGAAAGGATCAGGATGTGCTTGTCCTCAGTGTGCCCCACCCCAGCCCACACACCTTCATGAGGTGCTGCTCCATGTAGGAGGTGAAATACCGCAGGACGCCCAGCTGAGGCTGCAGGGCCCGGGGCACAGAACCCACAGAGAAGGAGAAGTGCTTTGTGCTGGTGGGGTTGTAGTGCACAGTCCTGGAAGTGGGGAGGCAGAGGTCAGAGGGAGCCCTGCACCAATGTCCCTCCCCTGAGTAACCCCAGGTCCCCGAGCCCAGGAGAACAAACCAAGGTGCAGCCCTGCTGGGTACAAGAGCCTGGATCCAAGGCACCCCATAATAGCACTTACTTCCTATTAGCCGACAGGGCCATGTGCGTGCCATCGTTGAACAGCACAGCTACACGGCGGCTGGACAGTTGATACCCAAATCCAAACTTGTTGGAGTAGTCAACCCACTTGCTGACCCACACCAGAGGCTCTGGCTGTGCCAGGGGGGCCGGGTTCTGTTCCGCTGTCACAGGAGAGGAGGCGGTGAGGACCTGTTCCTGGCCTCCCAGCCAAAGAACTCCCACCACCATTCGCATGTACCGGACCCCAACCTCACCTGGGGGCATGAAGGCCACGCAGTTTCTCAGAGCACAGAGGGCTGACTCCACCACTGTGGCCACAGTCAGACCTTCTTCAAACCCTGAAGAGGACCGGGCACTGGAATTAAGGCATTAGCTCCCCAGGACCTAGACATGTCCCTCTGCCCACTTCTGCCCTCTGGCCCTTAATCTCAGCCCCAGCAACCTCTAGCACCTGTCATCCTCCCTGGCTCCTCACCATCTCCACTGCTCGCCAGTGTCCCACGGGGGGAGCTGTCTTCAGGTGCTGTCTCTACCAGGCTGACAAGGGCTGGACCAGAAGCTGCTGGAGCCTGGAGGATTAAGAAGGAGGGGAGAGTGAGATAGGCCCCAAAACCCAAATCCTTGAGAGTCCATGGCCCGGCCCTGCCCTGGCTCCCAGGGCACCCCAGGTCAGCCCCGCCTGGCTAATGAGACAGCCAATTAGGCCACCACGAGGTTGGATGCTTCACCAGCCTCTTTTATCCGGGCTTCCCTCAGCTGCTAGGGTGGGGGTGAGTCAGGGGAACAGTGCCCACGTGAGCACCTCACCTCAGGCCTGGCATCCCGATGGCCAATGGACGTGCGCATGAGGCCGCTCACCAAGCAGGAGACCTCATCCCGCTCCTCGGGATGGTTCTTACCTGGAGGTGAGGGGTGATGTAGCCCTCAGTATCCTGTCCAGCCCACTTGATTCCCACAGGGCTGACAGAGCCAGGCCGTCCCAGGTGCCTGTGTAGCACTCACGCCCCCCAGGAGTGCACAGGCACCCGTGCTCTCACATCCCCTCTGCACCCTCAACCCACTGACACCCAGACTCACTCTTGTTCTTCTTCCTGCCAAAGAGGCTCTTGGTCACTTTGGCGAACAGACTCTTAGCCGGGTTGGGGGGTGTCAGGTCTGGGACTGTCACACAGCTGCTGACAGGGAGCCGGTCAGGGGTGTAGCCCTGGGGAGTGCAGCCATGTGAACAGAGAAGAGAGGCCCCTGGGATCTTGTCTCCTGCCCCCATTCAATCCCCTGGGAATATGCAGACTGGACTTGGATGTCGGGGGGAGCCACAGACCTTAGTAAAGAAGTCATGGCGCAGGATCTGGTCAATCGAGGGGCGGTCTCGGGGTGAGGCCCGAAGGATGGCAGCCAGGAGCTGGCGGGCAGGCAGTGAGAGGCTGGCGGGCAGCGTGTAGTGAACCTGCTTGATGCAGCGGTACGTCTCCTTCAGGTCAGCCGTCTCAAAAGGGGGGCTCCCACAGAGCAGTGTGTACCTGTGGGGCAGGGATAAGGGGGTCAGGAGTAAAGTGGAGGGTATGCCCCACCCACATACCCACAATCTGTCTGCCACTGACTTGGACTCACATGACACAGCCCAGTGACCACACATCTGCCTCGGGGCCATGGCCCTGTCTCAGTAGCACTTCTGGAGCGACATAGTTGGGGGTGCCACAGATGGTCCTTAAAGAGGATAGGGAGAAAGAAGGGAAGGCTCAGACCCAGCCCAGCAGCACCCCCTTCCCTGCCCCTGCTGTGACTCCAGACAAAGCAGCTGCCTGTCACCAAAGGCCAGAGAGCTCATGCTTGTTCTGGGACAATAGAGGCCAGGGATGGCAGCTGAGTCTCCGCCCACCCGCCTGGCCCAGCTGCTCAGCTGCTCTGCAGGACAGAGGGAGGCCCTGACCCCCAAGCCCAGCCCCCTCCTCCAGGGTCAACACAGAGGGTGTATCGCTGATCCCTTCCCCCACTCCCGTCTGTCAGACACCCATCAAGCTGTCTCTCACCTCCCATGGTTTGTGCCATACACACCCCAACACCAGCTGTCACATACCCCATAAACATTCATCTGTGTCACACACACCCAGTCACACTGGCCACAGCAGGGTCTTCTTACACGTACACGGGTCCCACCACTCCCACACTCTGTCTCTTACACACACACACAGACACACACACACACACACACCCTTGCCTATGTCACCTTCCCCATCCATACATGGTGTCAGTTATACACCCCCAAGAATCCTTCCACCCCCAATTGTCTCAGGGATTCAGGTCACCTACCCCATCTGCGTCACACACCCATGGAACCCTCACCTTCTCCACCAGTCCCAGTAACCCAGCTGTCACCTTCACCTTCACACATACATGAACAGTCCATCACCCCTTCCCCACTTATCACATGCACACATCAGGCACTCACCTCCCACATACTCACTGTCTGTCACGCACATCGTCTGTGTCACACACAGACTATGGCCACCACCCCTTTCCTCAAACACTCACTTCTTCCTCTGCTCTGGAGGCTCCAACCGGGCTGCCAGCCCCAAATCCCCCACCTTCAGTTCCATGTTCTCAGTGATGAAAAAATTTCCTGGATGGGGACAGAGAGGTATGTCACATTCTTTCCTCCCGCTCTCCCTCCCCAACCCCTCATCTTGCTGACCCAGGAGTCTCACCCAGCTTGAGGTCCCGGTGCAAGATGCCCCGCTGGTGCAAGTACTTGAGGCCGGAGAGGATCTGCCGCATGTAGTAGCGCACCTCAGGCTCCAACAGGGTGTGCCGGGCCTTCCAGATGTGGGCCAGGGACTGCAGAGAGCCACTGCCTCAGCCCCTGCTCCACCCTCCCTGACCTTCCCTATCTGCGCCCGCTGAACAAGGGACAGGGCCACAGCTTTGGGTCTTAAGACACCCCCCTTCTCTCCCCCATCCCCATCCCTGCCCCAATCACCATCCCTCACCTTTCGGCTGCAGAGCTCCAGGAAAATGTATATGTTGTCAGCATCCTCGAAGTAGTGCGAAAAACGCACGATGTGGCGGTGCTGCAAGTCTCGGTGAAGCTCAATTTCGTTTAGAATCTGCGACGGGGGCGCGGGGTTGTCATCCTTCCAGGCTTCCCACACCACCGTCCCCACCCTGCCCCTCGTCCGCTGGGTCTGGACCCACCTTCTCGCGCTGATGCGGCTTGGAGACGCGGCTCTGCGGGATGACTTTGACCGCGTAGGCGCTGCCGGTCTCTGTGTCAGTGGCCTCGTAGCAGCGGGCGAAGCCCCCCTGAGAGGAAGGGGCATCAGGCCGGGCGTTCCGAGGGAGGCCGGGTCTGGCCCTCAAACGTCCCCGCGTCGAGGTCAAGCGCCCCGCCCGGCCCGGCGCCGGAAAGGAGGCCGGCCGGGCCCCCCTCCGCCCCCGGTGGCATCATCCCCCGGACGACCCCCGGCCCACCTTGCCCAACAAGCGGCCTTTGAAGTAAGTGCGACTGCTGCGCGGGTCCGTGATGAGGCGCACAGGGTCCGGCGCCGGCGGCCCGGCCAGCATCTCCAGCTCAGGTCCCGGCAGGGCACTCGGAGGCGGCCCGGGCCCCGCGGGTGGCGCGGGCGGGACGGCCGCACGCTGGAAGGGGCGCGGGGACAGGAAGCCGGCGGCGGGTTCCATGCGGGCGGCGCGTCGCAGCGCGGACCCGACTTGTTCTGGGTTCCGCCAGGCCCCGGCCGCGCGTGGAGCTGCCCGGATTTGCTACGCCGCGTTCCCGCCCGAG